GGGTCTCGACCTGACTGCAGTTTGTCATCGTAACCGACTTGAGTGGGTAAATGCTCACATTCTATGGCGTCTAGCACTTTGGAGAGGTGTTCTCTTCATGGATGAATCCCGGTTTTCACTGTACAGGGCAGATGGCAGACAGCGTGTATGGCGTTGTGTGGGTGAGCGGTTTGCTAATGTCATCGTTGTGGATCGAGTGGCCCATGGTGGCGGTGGGGTTATGGTATGGGCAGGCATATGTTATGGACAATGAACACAGGTGCATTTTATTGATGGCATTTTCAATGCACAGCGATACCGTGACGAGATCCTGAGGTCCATTGTTGTGCCATTCATTCACGACCATCACCTCATGTTGCAGCATGATAATGCACGGCCCCATGTTGCAAGGATCTGTACACAATTCCTGGAAGCTAAAAACATCCCAGTTCTTGCATGGCCAGCATACTCACCGGACTTGTCACCCATTGAGTATGTGTTTAGGATGCTCTAGATCGGCGTATACGACAGCGTGTTCCAGGTCCTGCCAATATCCAGCAAGTTCGCACAGCTATTGAAGAGGAGGCTACAATCAACAACCTGATCAACTCACAGGCTACAATCAACAACCTGATCAACTCTATGCAAAGGAGATGTGTTGCACTGCATGAGGCAAATGGTGGTCACACCAGATACTGACTGGTTTTGGACCCCCCGCAACCCCACAATACAGTAAAACTGCACATTTTAGAGTGGCCTTTTGTGGCCAGCCTAAGGCACACCTGTGCAATAATCATGCAGTCTAATTAGCATCTTGATATGCCACACCTGTGAGGATGGTTGGATTATCTCGGCAAATGAGAAGTATATAAATAACACAGTATATATACAATACTTGAGAGAAATAGGCCTTTTGTGTACGTAGAAAAAGTTTTAGATCTTTGAGTTCAGCTCATGAAAAATTGGGGCAAAAACAAAAGTGTTATGCGTTTATAATTTTGTTCAGTATATATCTATCTAGCTATCTAAATATATATATATAGCTATATGTAAAAAGAAACGTTATATATACATATGTATACATATATATTTAAATTCTACAAATATATTTATATAATAATTTTACATAATTAAGTCATTTTATTAATTACAATCTGTGGGACCTGCCCGACAACCCAGGCAGAAAGTCCAGAGAATTTGACTCGCAAGCCCTATATTTAATCCTGTCACTTTCCAGGACACCATAAAACCTGTACATGGGGGTACTGTTTTACTCGGGAGACTTCGCTCAACACAAATATCAGTGTTTAAAAACAGTAAAACATATCACAATGATGATATCGTCAATTTTTTTATTTTTCACACAAACTGTACTTTCACTGACAATATCATTGTTGTGATATGTTTTACTGTTTTGAAATACAAATATTTGTGTTCATCAAAGTCTCCCAAGTATAACAGTACCCCCATGTACAGGTTTTATGGTGTTTTCAAAAGTTACTTAGTCAAATATAAAGCTTGAATTTGTTTTTTTCACATTGAAATCCGCCAGGTTGGTTATGTTGCCTTTGAGACCGTATGGTAGCCCAGGAATGAGAATTACCCCCATGATAGCATACCATCTGCAAAAGTAGACAACCCAAGGTATTACAAATGAGGTACGTCCAGTCTTTTTTAGTAGCCACTTAGTCACAAAAACTGGCCAAAATTAGCGTTCAATTTAATTTTTTGCATTTTTCACACACCAACAAATATGAACTTTTGGTCTCAATTGCAACATAACCAGTCTGGCAAATTTCAATGTGTATAAACTAAAAAAAATGTAATGTGCTATATTTGACCCTCTAGCTTTCCAAAACACCATAAAACCTGTACATTGGAGGTACTATGTTACTTATGAGACATCACTGAATACAAATATGTGTACATTATTTCAATAACCGCTAACAGTATTGTGACATTCACAGTTACAATGCCATGCAGAACTAAAAAAATAAGATTTCTTAATTTCTCAATTTTTCTTTTATATTTTATTCATATTAAATTATGTTTAATATACAAATATTTGATGTGACATGAAAGTCATGTTTCTCCTGAACAAAATTATATATGAGAAGTGTGGGTGCACATAATGAAAGAGGAGCCTGAGCAGACATATAGTGGAAATTCAAGGTTTTGTTTATGTTTTGTTTTGATCACAACTTGTACAACTACCTCAGTACTTAAGGGGTTAAGTCCTGCAAGTTACGAGATGGGGCCTTGATGGATCGGATTTGTTGTTTCAGCACATCCCACAAATGCTCAACCAGACAAAGATCTGGGGAATTTGGATTCCAAGGTAAAACCTTGAACACTTTGTCATGTTCCTCAAACCAT